CTATTTCCATTTGACCCAATCGGTATGGAGAAAGGTGCAGGAACTGGGGCTTGTCCGATTGTACCGCGAGAATGAAGACCTGCGGCATTTCGTGGGGCAATTGGACGGGCTGGCATTCCTTCCAGAAGCCGAAGTAGAAGAAGGGATGCGTCACCTCAGAGAAGAGGCACCTCCAGAAGCGGAGGACTTGGTGTCATATTTTGACGCAACTTACGTCAGTGGGACCGTACGCCGGATTCCACAACCAGGAGGTGTGCGGGTGCGCCTTCGACGGACCCCAGCGTTGTTCCCATCCGAAACATGGAACCAACATGAAGCTACTCTTCATGGAAAGAGTAGAACTAATAATCATTCCGAGGCATTGAACCGGCGATTGCAGACACTTATTGGACATAGCCACCCTACAGTATGGAAGCTGATAGATGTCCTGCAGTCTGTCCACGCAACCACCATCACGTTGGTTGCAAAAACCGATGCTGGAGATCCCCCAAAGAAGAAGAGGAAGAGAGTATATTTGCAACTTCAGAAACGTCTCCAGAACCTTTGCCAACGTTATAGCCAAGGAGAGATAAATCTCCAGCATTTTCTGCGGGGAATAGGCCATAGTATCCGCTTTAAAGAAATGTGCTGAAGTTGGATTTGTCTGTTTTTTTCATGAGAAGTTTATCAAATGACATGACATCAATCAATAAATGTCACAAAAATGAATGCGTCTTTAATCTGAGGTGAATATAACGGGATGGCAATTTTCCGTCTATGCCAATTCTGGGGGTCTTATTTCCGGGTGGCTTTTTTCCTAAACCCGAGTAAAACAAGGATTTACAGCAGAAGAAGTCATGTAAGGCTCTACGACGAAGTTGATCAATTCTACAATTTCCTCCAACACAAATGTTGCAAATTATTCGCATAAACTCCAGGAGATATCACGTCTCAAAGCCACATCCTAGGCTCCCCGATGATGGTACTTACGTCAATCTTTCCCTCTTTCAACCGATTTCTCCTTATCCCTGAAGGGGACTATAATGCCGTAGAACAACATGACAGGTATACAGAAGATGAAGCAACGAGAACAACATTAAAGTAGGAAATACAGTGAAAACTCGTTAAGTCGAACTTTTAGGGACCAGGGCAAATCGTTTCGAGTTATCCGAAGCTTGAGTTATCAGGAATCGCCCGCCCCCCCACCCCCCCCCCCAAAAAAAAAACTCACGTTAAGGGACATAGGGAAGAGAATGGCTCGGAGTGAGAGCGATAGCTTGACAGAGCAAATGTTGGAGGCTTTTTATAGCCAAAGCTTTTCAGGTTTAATCCTCTCCACAGGTGTCTGTGTGGGAGGAGGGAGAAGCAGAAAAAAAGACAAAAGAAACAAAAGAGCATCCTCCCGAAAGGGTTTCTTGTCATTCATTCTATTCAAAAAGTCCCACGAGAAGAATTTTCCCCCCCCTTCTCACACGGAATTCAAGTTAACAGTGAGAAAATCGCTATAGGGAGTGAAAATTTCATTCGAGATATCCAGAAATTCGAGATAAGCGAATTCGAGTTAAACGGAGTTAACATGGTGTCCTACGGGGTTCCGCCGAGATCAAGCATTGAGCTTCGAGATAAGTGGAATTTCAACTTATCAGGCTTCGAGTTAACGAGTTTCCACTGTATTTAAACCTCCATAAATTAAATGCAATTAATAACATACCTGGTGCTAATGCATAATAGCATAAATTCATTTCTTCGACACCAGTTTAAGTTGTGAAGCATTGCAGGTCAGCCGAAAGAAGAAAATTAAGAATGCATTACTTAAAAGGAAGTAAAACCAGTGCTAACATTTACAAAATGGCAACAAATGGACAGCCAGGGCTGAGGTTTTCGCATGGTGTAAGTAACTGAATTGACAAATTTTTGACAATGAAACATTGTAAGATAGCCACAGACAAGTTCAAGCAATGCAACATTTACGAAATTTGATTCAATGTGACTAACATGACAAAGCAATACATGAATGCTATAGGTATCCGTTCTCATGCATTCTGCACTCATTACTAATTGCAAAAGCACCTGAGCTACACTTTTTGAGCAGGTAGTTCCTTTCAATTTCACTGTCTAGTCGCCTCCTGCATAAACATCCTAATACCTGTTCACTTACACCTGCAACTCCCTTTTTTTTGCTCATGGTTGCAACTAACCTCTTTAAAGTATTGATGGGAAAGGCAGCCGCTTCATCGTCGCCCAACGCATTCGACGCATACACAAAAAGGGACCTTGAAGTGATCCTCCAAAACGAGTGTCGTACAAATGTCATTCCTCGATGGGTGAGAGAATTTCGCTATTCTCATCTCCAATCACCAGCATGATTCTGAAAAACAAAGGCCTAGTTGAGGTTTCCATTGGGCCTTTTGGAACCTTGTTAAAACGATCGTAATTTGGAGACAATGCATATTCTCATAGGTCGATTTTTCAAGCCTTCAAGAATTTGAAAGGGGTTGGTTAACGTTTTTCCCTAACTTCGAAAGCATTTAATTATTGTGATATTTTAAGTTAAAGGGGTGTTTGTATTTTCTGACGTATTCACATTCACCATGATTGGCATACAGAAATTGGTTCTGATCGCAAAATTTGCCCAGCAGGCGGAGAGGTACGATGAAATGGCCGCTGCCATGAAGGTGACAGAGACAGGTGTGGAGTCGTCAAACGAAGAGAGAAACCTTCTTTCAGTTATCTACAAGTATATGGCAGGTGCGAGAAGGAGCTCATTGAGGGTCATCTCATCCAGTGACCAAAAGACAGAGGAATCAGAACAGAAGCACGTATTGGCCAAGGAGTACAAGGAGAAGATAGTGAACGAGCTCCAAGATATTTGCTTCGATGTCCTGGATCTCCTGAACAAGTATCTCATTCCAAAATCTAGCAACACTGAATCCAAAGTGTTCTACCTCACGATGAAGGGAGGCTTCAATCGGTATTTGGCAGAAGTTGCCACCGGAGACTCTCGGTTGGATGTGATGGAGGAATCCCTGAAGGCGTAACAGGAAGCTTTCGACATCGCCAAGGGTAGGATGCAGCCAACTCATCCCATCCGACTCGCACTGGCGCTAAACTTCTCAGTCTTCTATTATGAGATATTCCATGCACCTGATCGAGCTCGCCAGTTAGCCAAGGAGGCACTCGACGATGCGAAAGTGGAGCTGGACACCTTGAAGGAGCACAGTTCCAAGGACTCTACGCTCATCATGCAACTCCTTCGAGATAAAATCACGCTTTGGACATCGGAAAACCAAGAGTTAGGAGACGAGCAGCCCGAGGGACGTGACAACTAGTGACATCATCCCCTCCTTCATTACCCTCCCGTTCTATTTTCCCCCTCCATCTATCTCCTATTCCTCACACCCTCCACCACCCGCCTCCTCCTCGAAAAATCTTTAAGAAAATTAAAGAATGCTTGTCACTTAAGATGGAAGATGACGCCGTCGATATCGACATCCTAGGGGACTCCTGTGAACCAAACGGAAAAAAAAAACCAATCAAGGGAGAGAGAAGACTCCGTGGAATCCAACTTTTGCCAGCGGAAAGGTTTAAATATGTTGGGGATGGTAAGGAGGTTCCTTCTCTTTTCCTTTTCTCTTACTGGTTAGTTTGTCATTTCTATGTCAACAGAATTTTCATCAGAACTTTTTTGCATTAAAAAAAAAAATAAGTAGAAGAACTTTGAACAACATTGGAATTGAGAGAAAGGTGTGGCCGTATTATTTGCTAAGTTGAGCCTCGATTTTCACACATGGTTTAAAGGAACGGGACTCACAGCACAGAAAAAAATGTCACTTGAGAAGCAAAGAAATCATTTCATTTTCCTGAAGGTAACAGTTCTTGTTTCAGTTTCATCCCTAGTCTCGTTCTCACCGCCTTACAGACTTATTTCTCCTTCCATGTCAGAGGCGGGGTCTGCTCAGTTCGACTGGACCAAAATTTGCTTTCCGTCCGATTCAGCTGCAATGTCGTTCAACGGTTTGTCGTACTTTCCGCTTAGAGAATAAAACAACATTCTGGATGAAAAAAAAAGAATTTGAAGCAAGTTATTTTCGAAATCCCCTTTAGCTGGATGCATTCCTCAACATGAGATATGTACACAAGGTGCTTCATCCTCTTGGTGAAACTGCCAATCCGGATCAGCATATTCACGTCCTTTCAATGTTAATCCAAACGTTATGTATTACTATAGAGGAATATCAATTACCAGAAAATTTTAACCTACAATTCCTTGGTGTTCTGGCCCCCCCCCCCCCGAGTAATCTCTCCTCGGGTGTTTTCGGAAAAGCACTCCAACCAAAAGAAAGACATTGCTTATAGATCCAGAGAAGTGCCTCGAAACAGGCCTCTAATTGGTCTAACGTTACACGTCCTCATCGAGATGTCTGGAAGACCCACAGATTCACCCTTACAGACCTAATCGTTCCCTGTAGATCGGGGGTTGAGTGTCTTTTGAGCGAAAAAAAGGTGACCCTATTTCTTGCCTAAAGACAGGCCACGGCTTAGACTTAGGCATAACGTTAGGGAGTCCCTGTAGAATGGGGGAGGGGATTTAAATGTTGTAATGAAGTGATTGCCATTCCTTAGTATTTTACTCCTCCTGACCTCCCATCCGACTTCCTCCCATCCAGAGGGGGGCTTGCCGTATCCCACCATATATATCGGCCCTTGCTAATCACCGTTTCAATTGGGGCTCATCCCAGGAACTCAGCATAAAAATATCTCATAAATTGAAAAAAGGATCCAAACCCCAAAACCTTTTTTTTTCCACTCCAAACCTTTCTTTTTGTGAACCCAAGTTAACCCTGTAACTATCAGAACCCGGATGGTCACATGTTCAACTTTTTTTTTCCCCCCTTTTCATTCCAAAAGAATCTCTTCATGATACGTTGCCTAAAACACAGTCACACATTCTCATGAAAGTACTCAGCGGTTCGAACTTTTAGAGTTTACGGCGCAGCCGACCCAAACGGCTAAAAAGAAATTTATCAGGCTCTATTTGACCCTGAACGGTAGTTACAGGGTTAAACGAAGCGAATCTTCATTCTGATTGATGATTTCCAAAGACACCATATCTTACTCTGCATCGATGAAAAGGAAGTTGAGCATGTGGATTGCTTGTCCTTCATCATTCTGGGAACCGTCCTCACTCCGAGTTTATTTCCAGAAAGTGTTTTTAAAAATATTGGGTTCATCATTAAAACAACTGTCAACCACCAATACTGCGAGGAAGGCAACGAAATATGCCATGAATCTTTAATTTCACATTTTATCAATAAAGAGACGACGGAATGGCAAAGACTGTCCAGTCTTTCCCGAGCCAAAATTACATTATGAAGGCTGGCTAATCCCGGAAATCACGGACGTGTTCTTTTTCTTTCATTATTAATGCAATCATAATTTGAGTATGGGCGCGAGGGATCTTCATCATTACTTGAATGATTCCACTCCGGCTCCCTCAGAGGCGGAGCTCCATAGAGACGGAGGCCTCGCACACGTGCCGCCCTTTAAACAAACGGGAGCTTTTTATCTCGATGGCTATGCACGAGCACTGAGGCATGAACGACTCTGAAAAGATGAGGCGACAATGTGGGCGTGCCCGTGTCGGACTCGGCGAACATTATGAGTACTAAAAGGTGATTACATTGGCATTGTAAAAAAAAAAATAGAAAAATTCCAAGGAAAACACAGGAAACAAAGTTTCCGTTGAATGCGCGGAAAATGGGAATTCCGCTTCATAGCGGAAACCATATCTCCCATTTTCTCACACTCACATACTGTTCTGAGAAAACTTCGGAATAGATCCCTTCGAGTCGAGCACGAAAAGTAACTTTCTTCTCATTGCCTTGGAAATTCCGATTAATTGTCATCCTAATGGCGGAGTGAGGAAATGGATGACAGATCTCAAGGATATTCTAAATAAATTAAAGAGGTGGACCTTCCACTGGAATGTGCTATAATTAATATTTTATATGCAAGAGAAGATCAACCCCTGTACTGTCCTACGTTTCCTGCGTATCTATGGTACAGACATGTACATGGGCGGCATGGGCACTAGGTCGTAATTAGTAAAGGGTCCGTACTGCGGATAGGAATACCTCAACCGGTTAATGAATTTAAGTATATGGTATGAAAGGAATGATGGTCTATATAGAGCAAATACGAGCGTTAATATTGGCCTGATATTTTTCCGGATAGTAATCCCAATATATGGGGGTTCCACTCTTGTAAGTGGGTTATGTATTGCCTACGTTGGCAGTAAGTAGATTATACTTACTGCCAACGTTGGCCCCACATTGGTCCAACGGTCACTTCCACGTGGGGCAGACTTGAATAACCTACAGTGGTCTAACGTATCCTGACGTTGGACTACATTGGGCCGACGTGGGCCCACGAAAAATGTTATCTGAGAAGTTTTCATAACCCCGGTAATTTGAGTGCTCTATGTGCACAGAACATCATGTGAAAAGCATGGGGCTGAAAGTGTCAATTCAGTGATGTGCCTCTCTGCTGTCATTCATCAACTGCGGCATGAAAGGTACCTACGTACCAATTCCTACATGGGTGTAGTCCTTTTGCTCTTATGCTTTTGTAAAACGCTTTTGTGTTTATCGAAGGCGTTGGTCTTCTGCTCTGATCGATGGCGAGGCTTTCGTCATTAAGGTCTCGGAGCATTTAGTCTGGTTTCAGTTGTTCTTGTGGATGAAGGTGAAATGACGATGAGTTCCGGAGGAGGCAAGTTCTTTGACTCGTTTCGCCCCGCTGCGGTCCTTCTGTTCTTGGCAGGATGTTTTCCCTTTTCCGGGATTTTTGGCTCAGAGCTTCAGTTCCAACTCGTCTCGTTCCCTGCATTTTACTCCATCGGGTTTCTCATTTACATCGCCGTCGTCTTTGTGTGCAGTCTCAAAATGCTGCTTGGGTTACTACCACATACATATGTTTTAGCGATCATCGTTCTGCAAGATGCTGCCTTCGTCTTGAATGCCGGCATCGTCGTCACCTTCTTCCTCGTCCGAGGCTCGCGTATCGCGACGATTCTCACCGAGGCAAACTCCATTCCACGTTACCCGCGGAAACGAGTCGGGGAAATCGCAATCCCCTTGGGCATCTTCATTCTCGTGGCGTCTCTCGACTCCGTTGCCATGGTTTTTGTAGAATTTTATTTCCTGGTTCCTGTTTCCTTCTGCAAATCAGGGATCATAATCGTTTTCGTAGTTCTCCTTCTCCGAATCACGTCCTTCTATAGAGACATTATTGAAGACTTAGGAAAGCCTCAAGAAGAATTGAAACCTGCAGCTCATGAAATGCGGTAAAGTTATGGATATTTCACCCTCTTTCGGAATTCTTTTGATATCAGTACAATACATTGTTGCATTGTTCTCTCACATAGAGAGAGATATATTCGAATTTGGAATTTCACGGAGGCAGTGATGCAAGTGTTTGGATTGCCAATCATCTGCATGATGGTGGAGACATTTTGGATCGGTTTCTCCGAGCTCTACACTATTCTGACTATGGTCCTTTCTGGATATCTCCCTATATCATCCAGCCTCTGTATCAGTTTTTCCCTCGTTTCCTCCCTCATCAGATTCATCGCCCTCGTGGAGGCTGCCCATCATCTTCTATTGGTCGTGAGTTCCGACTCCCTCTTCAAGTCTCAAGCCTTCAAGTCCCTATGCGAATCAAAATACTATTTTTTTTTTAGGTATCTGAACTTGAAAACGGACTTTCGAAAGTTCGATTTGAATGTGGCGATTGCCGAGGCATTCAAGAATTGAGGGAAACGGTCCTAGACCTTCCAATTCGTCTGTCTGCTGCTGGATTCTTTCATATCAGACGGTCTATTTACGTCTCGGTAAGTTTATCATTTCGAATATTCCCTCAATAATTTCCTACACTTCTGATCGATTGTTGTTTACTTCAGTTCGCCAATGCCATGCTGACCTATATGGTGATCTTGCTGCAGTTTGGCGACCCCACCAACCAATTCCAAGTTCTAACGACTGCGGATCCTATAGGGAGTTCCAATGAATAATTTTTTGCGGTTTTTGAAGAAAGCATCACGCAAACTTTCATTTTAAAAGTTGAAACTTCATTGTCTGCTCTCTTTTTAATATCACTTCGATACTTTCATCTCCCAAGAACTAATATTGTTTTGACCTATATGCTATGACCACAGTGATTCTTCATATGCATTCATTTAAACGCCATTTCTAGAAAACTTGCGAGTAAACATTGTTATCAGTCTAAATTTGTGTTATTAAAGCTATTTTTCAATCGCGACTAGTTCTTG